GAAGGGCAAAACCCTGAAAAAAACTGTCTAGCTTCGGCAGTGGCGAAAACCGAGAAACCACCCATCAATTCCAGACTGTCTGTGTTGACAGACAGACGAAATGGATAAACACGGGTTGTACTTTCGGGTTCTCTGTCACTGATGCATCCAAACGAAAACGGGGTTATTAACCCATTGCTTGAACGTAGTGTTCAGCCTTGGCAACAAAGCACACATATGCTACCTTCGAGGTCACACCAGCGCACCTACTGGCGATATATGGTGCTCGTCATACACGCAAACGCTGTGTTGCATCGTGGGTGGCCGTCTACGGGTTATGCCTGCACTGAGCCTGCCGGACTACGCGATAAGGAGAAGATAAAGAACTCGGGACACAGCTATATCGTCCGAAAAAACATACAGAGCTTCTGCATAAATGTATGGGATGATTAAATGGCCAAATATGGTCGTTCACTTGTTCGTTCTGTACACCCAATGGTGGTGTTCCGGTCGTGAACATTTTCAGCCCCAATCTGCTGGTCTTATGTTGCTAAGCCGTGTTTGGTGTGCTGGGCCAACACACCTGCTATCCGAAACGTGTCGTACCGATGGTGACCTTGGGGATGCGTCACTCTCTGCACATGTACTTTTTTCATGTCTGGGCGCGTCCTGACACAGTGAGGTTGTAGCAGACTTAGGACCTTATTAGCATGTTGGATCAAATGAACGAGCAAAGTAACAAAATCACAATAAGAAGAGAATAAGCAATCGATAAGGACTCACGAATGCGTAGGTCCAATAGTCCACTACACCGATTCCAATGCAATAGCCGGCTGTGAAGGAAATATTCACTTGTAGAAATTTTCCACAGATGATTCACGTGTGAGTAGTATATTCCACGATAGGAAAGTTATTCACAGCTAAAAAAATGTCACAGGGAGTTATTGTGACGTTCAACAGTTCACATAAACACAGAGATATAGTCCCACTGATTCAGCAGTCAGCAAACAGTTCAACGGAGCGTAAATCCACTGATTCAGCAAGAAGTCAGAAAGTCGCCTCGAAAACTTGTGTATTGCACCATTTTTTATGCAATTATTGGTACAATAAAACAAACGTCATGATAAAATATGTACAACATTTACAAAATTTAGGTCAAGTTTAGGAAAAATGGTAAATAAATGTGACAACGGATTACAGACACTACAAGGTCTTCCAGGGACGCGGGACAAGTTGTTCTCCCGGAGTGTGCCGCTTTTTCCGTGTGGGGGTTGACATTAGATTTAATGCAAAAAACACGCTTTTTGTTAAAAGCTCGGAGCATAAGTAGAGAAAAACGCACGAAACTCTGTTTGGACTTCATTCAACCGTTTCAACGTTGAATGCAGATTTCACCTCAAACCAACTTTGTGATGAAGATAAGCACAACACAGCGCAGCAGTACATACGAAATACGAGTTGAGCACGTAAACCTCTAGTGGCAATGGTCAGGTTCATACCCATGAAATCTTTGACCACTTATAGCACAATTCAAGTCTATGGTTTGCTACTTTGAAGGTTTGTAGAAGACCGGGGTGATTAAGGTTAGTTTTGCAACCCATTCATCCTCCTGACCTAGTAACCACAAGCACTTTGCCCAGAAAATTTAATATCTCACAAGTCTCACCGGACTTTCAGCTGAAAAGACATCAACCGAGGGACCAGTTTACGCCAGGTCACGTGCTATGTGTTCGGAGAACGAGTGGTCACGTGTTCGGAGAACGAGTGGTGCCATGTCGAGTTATTCATACAGCTGATCACGTACTCTGACAGGAATGAATAGTATCCAACTAATAAAAGGAAGGCGATTGGTGATAAAAACCAAATGCATTTGTAGGTCTAACACTCGATACAAGAACGTTAAAACAGCTGTATGATACCTGTTGACTTTTGGGCGTAGTCTGATTTGACTTCTTGATGAAACCTCAACTGACATTTAATGAAACGCCGAGCAATCCACTTGTCACATCAATCCATGTCGATCCACTCACTATTCAACCATGGGAAGAAACGGCGAGTCCGTTTATTGAAAGAAGGAAGCTGGCATCCTATACGAGTAATCTGCCTACCATCAGTGGTTGTATACTAGTTCCTAGGTAAATTGGACGCCGTTAGAAAACCATTCATGGGACGTGTTCATCTTCGGGCCATCACCTAACATGGCCCCTGGCAAAGAACCATGATGTCCCTGTAGGAGACAACAGTCAGAAAAGAAAACGTCATAGAGCCAGGCGAATTCGTCCATTTATGCTCACCTATTACTAAAGGGTACAGCATTTCAGCGAATCTTTGCGCAGTACTGTGCATCAAGTACCACGAACACCTGGAAGATGTCGGTTGTTATCTGTAGGGCAGTCAGTAAAGGTAGTTGCGAGTCGTGACCCATGTTACCTAGTTGATAAGTCGATAGCACTTCTGAAATTAAGTCTGTAAAGGATTATCACACTGTACCGAAAGTGGATTTTCGGTATTTGTGCCCGAATCGCTCACTGGAGGTGTCTGGTTATACTGAGACTTTCAAGAACTCATTGATTCTTTAGCGGTCTGAAAGTAAGGTTGGATGGGTCCCATCAAACTGGATAGGTTAGACTTTTTGAAGGTAGTCAGCCCTTTCTGTGGGCTAGTTTGTCCTAGTGACAGGATGCGCGCTCGAAATATTGCGAAAGGCTGACTTGCAGGCGGTAACGGAGTACACGGGTACACTGAGCACTGCTGGTTAGTTTATAAAGTTACACTACTCATGCAAGACATAAGTAGACAATAATATATTGTCTGAGCTTTCTTAAATTAGCAGTTCGACTGGATGGATGGTCGCCAGTCACCTAGATGAGAGCAGCGTTACGATACACCTCAGATTAAGAGGACGGTGAAAAGGCGCACAGTGCAATCAACTCCTCCACAGGCACAGATAAGTAAACTTTCCATGTACGTTGGATTCCCCCCTTCGCAAATGGCTAACTTAATAGCAGTACAATATCTTCTAGGAAATGGCACGTAACTAAGTATGATGCAGTTCCTTAAGACAGTCTATCAACGTTAACTTAAGCACTTGGACTGTGGCTAATTGAATCTGTAACAAAAACTTTGGAAGACCATCGGTGGTGATCAAATATCCTTTGAGATCGCGCTTATTCGACAACCCGTAGAAGATTTTTTGCATTTCACGTCCTAAGTATCAATGAGTGCTTAGCTGAAATAATTTTCGCGTAAGATCAGTGCATTTCACACAATGATGCTAAATTACTGAAGGCGTTGATCACAATTAGTTCATAAACAATAATTCTTGTACAGTAAACTTTTACTTTTTCCTTTCCGAAATTTCGACAACTTGGGTTGATCTGAGGATTCGTCAATGTCGATCGCATTCTCAGCAGCTAATTATGTCCTCCACTTGCTTCCAACTCGAAGGGGTGTTTGGACAGATCAGATTTGACGGTAATATTTTTGAGGATATTTCCCATCCGGTACAGAACATATCCGTCCAGAACTGCGGTTTGCCACGGTAACGTACCAGGGTTTAAAGAATACCAAAAGTTAGTCAGCACAGATTTATGACTTCACATTAGAGTGCCACAAAAGTATCATTGAAGCTTTGGGTTGTGGCCTTTTAAGAATCTGATCCTCAGTTTGGAACTCAAAACATCTGTAAACCTCCAGTGCAGACAGCAGTCACCCCAAACACAGATATTCTTTTCTACCTCACCGGTTCCTTGAAACTTGGAAATATATAACAGACTTGTAATACGTAACAGTGTCAGTTATGATAGCTGGGAAAATCAGTGGCCTAGTGAAACGGTCAATCAGGAGTGCATTGCAAGTGCCCGAGAGTGAACAAATCGGAACCATGATTTTGATAAACCCGGTTTGCCTTATGGACTCTACATTGGCACAGTTACCCCCCCCTCCAATCTCACCTACACCAGTTACAGCCACGATTGTGACCTTGTTCTCGGATCCCCACACGTCCATCGGTCACGCTGTGTGTACCCCATCAACTGTCTGACAGACAGGGAAGGCGAAGTTTGCGGACATTCCTCAAACTTCCAAAACCTGAATGCAGCTGTTCATCATCCAGATTAGATTCCTCATCGCTCCCAAGAAGCCTTATGATGATAGACTTACCGCGGTTAAATGGTTTCTTGAAAACGTGCGCGTGAAGCCGAATTTCAAACAAGACAGGGTCGTCACAACGTACACATTTAGGGTATCTGAAACCAGGTCGCCCTTGGGTGTTTCGGTACGTGCGCATAATATGGCCTTTGGGTTACGCACACCTTTTACGAAAAACAAGACAGGGTCGTTCCGGACTAACGCCGTGACACGAAACTGCTGGCGAACATGGACCTAATAACGACCCATGCTGTTTTCAACTCCATCATTCTCCAACACTGTATCGAGTGTGAGTACTGTCCATTCTTAATTCAAATGAGGCAATGGTGCGTTCTCGGGCTCCTATACTCAGGTAGTAGCCACCAGACCCCATCCCGATGCTGATTTTTACTGACGCGCTGAGCTGATGTCTTGCCGGGAACTCGTGGTTGTCGAATCAAGTCCAAAATTCGTGAAGTGGTAAATCTGACCTCAAAATCTGTATTTCTAATGTGCAACTATAGTAACAATAGCCGTTGAATTACAGCTTACTCTCCATGGAGCGACGAATATAGGGTCTTAAAACATAATTCATGGTTTGTCATTTGTAGTGTGGCGATACAACGGAATACACAACGCAGGACAAGCGACCAGATACCATCATCTCGTGTACTTTTATGCCCAACTTGACCACCCGCCGTTCTGCTTTTGTTGATAGACTTGGAACGAACGCAGCCGATTCGTCACCATGACTCTTACTTCTGATTGGCCGTCTTGCTGTGATGCACTTTTATAAATCGAGCAATTGATCGACACGGCACAGCTAGATCACTTTCAAACCCTCGCTCCTATCGGCGGTCGGGCTGGAAACCGGATAGCAGACAGCGGGGAAAATGAAGAATAAAGAAACTCAGGTTGACGACCTGTTGAAACAAGAATCGTACAAAGTCCTAGAAGTCCAGGCCAATGTGACTGTAGGCGAATTGAAAAAGGCCTATTACAGGCTGGCGAAACGCTTTCATCCGGATAAAAATCCGGATAGTGTCTCAGCAGCTCATCATTTCGTCCGCATAAATACCGCTTATCAGACACTTCGATCAGGACTGAGGGCGGGTGATGTGACGGATTGGATGAGCAGCACGAAAAATGATCAATTCGAAGATTCACAAGGTGGACAGTAAGTTGACCCTTTTTCCCTGCTTACGTGATGAAATCATCACCATCATTAACAACTAAGCCAATGTTTTTCTGTCACCAGAATAAAGTGTACTGCTAATAGGAAACGTTCTTTGGTTCACTATGGTACAATGATCTCTTCCCGTTTGACAGAACTATCCTTTGACTCATAAAGGAAACTATTCACAAGGTTGTTGAAAACTCTTCGACAGCCCTCGAACGGTTAAGCTCTTCTTGGGGCTCATCAGGTAGGCGCAGTCCCCGAATTTCCGTCAACCTTATGTTCCACTTGAACCCAAATTGGGCTGTTTTCGGGAAATACACTCATTTGCAAATCGATGTGGTTTTTTGAACCAGTTCTGTTACTGCCAAACGAACATTTCACAGTATTTGTTTAAGTATGCACTCTGGTGTATGTCATTCTGTTTATCCGCTCAGGTAATCCGCAACCAAGTTGATGGATGGTAGATAAATCCGGAGAACTAAACAATCTGTGGTTCAATCTGTGGTCTAAATCTAAGGTTTCAAGGCGAATTTCACACTGAAATCGATTCATGAGAATAGTTTCACTCCTAACTGGATTGAGCAAAGTTTCGAGGCAGCGTAGACTAGTTCCAGGGTTTTGTACGGTTTAGTGTCTGTGTTTTCTTCCGTCAACTTGTAACCTTCAAATTGTAAATACTGTTTATTTTCGACCTCAATCTGAGGGTTTTATTCCTCACTAAATTTCCGAAAGTTCGTGAAACGCTGTAATGAACCACTATCGTACGTTTTTTTTCAATAAAGAGGTTTATCAAAAGGAATTTGAAAACCTATCGAGGAACGTCACCCATACCTGTTGATATGACGGTTAAAAAGACTCAGGAAACCCGGAAAAAACTTTTTGACCCCTGAGTAATCATTTTAGTTGTTCTCTCCCTTATAAACTACATAAGTAATCGGCATCGAATAGCTATTCAAGGCAGGCGTTCCGTACGTTCGAATTCCTGTGTTCAAGGTCACCGTTTACTAGCAAATAAAAAATCTGCTTGGCAGCGTATAACGATCAGGTCAGTCATGCGGGCGTGTCCGGAGCACCTATCACGATGCAGGGCTGTTGATGGTATTGGTGACCTGAACAAGTGATTCGCTCTTATTTGTTGCCAGGCTATAACAGGTTTTCGAATACACCTCTGCATGAGAAGACCCCCATCTCCATGCCAGATACCTTCATTATACTACCATTCCATGAACACAGACGTCAGACAGAGGTGAATCTATGCCGCAACCGAGAGATTGAAGAGCACTCATTCACGCACTGACTTGGTTTTGATGGGATAGTCAATTGAATTCAGCTGAATCTCTCGTTTGTGATATCCTACTGAAGGTGCTGAACAAGGCCGTCTCATGTTTCAGTTGGTACGATATTGGATATATCGCGGTCCACTGTCTTTGAGGAGCACATGGCTCATAAGGTTGCTGAAAACCCTTCGAATGCTCGTGGCCGGTTTCGTCCTTCCTGTGGCTCACCAGGGAGGCGAAGTCACCAATCTGACGGGCTACTTTAACCCAAATTGCATATATTAGTGCACTGTTGATGACGGCCATAATACAACTCAGAAGGTATATAGACTAATAACAGTCTTTACTGTGGTTGACAGTAGTTTACAGAAGCGATTTGCAGCATGTATAAAATAAAGGCAATATAAAATGTGGAGCAAGTCCAAAGGGAGAGTTCCTTGGTGAAAGTCCGGATGGCGAAAACGTGTTTTCTCCGCAGTTTGGCTGCTACACGTACTCCATAATTGTCCGTGGACTTGGAGTGTTCACTTCCTGCTCCATGCGCGCGCGCGAGTCTGTGTGTGCTGATTGTGTTCGGTTTCCCTATATGTACGTCCGTTTGCGTGTATGTGGGCGCGTCAGCACACGAGTAGTTGCTACGCTGACTAGACGATACAGACAATCGGTGTCCGATAGGTCAGCTTCATGTGACGCGGTCTGAGTATGAAAAAAGACAAGTCCCGTGATCCTGTGAGCTGAACATTCAATTATGTGGGTGACTGGGTGGCTACGGACGCAACTCGGTCTTCCACCAAAATCAAGTCAGTGTCAAAATGAGTGTATTTCACGAAATGCACACAATTTGTGTTCACGCAGAACATAAAGTGGACGGGGATTGTGACTACCTGGTGAGACCAGGAAGGACGAAACTGGCCGTGGGGTATCGAAGGCCTTTCAGCCACCTTACGAGTAGTATATTCTATCTATGGAGAACAGCGCGTTTCACGAGCCTTACTGTGTTAATACTGCACTGGACTTATTTCTTACACCTGTAGTGTTGAAAGTTCAATGACCCAACCTCATGTGCCCCCTAGGATGGTGCCTTAACACATTTATCGTTTTAAGATATACAGTACCCCAGAATGGATGCAACTCCATTCCAAAAACGATCTCGGGGCTCGAAATTTTTTGCACTGGATTTTCCTTAACAGAACCAAAGAAATAACACTGACTGACTCCCTAAATAGTTATCTGAAAACCGGAAATACAACGAAAACATCATCTTTCGTTGAACAGTTTGTCGTGAGAGTGGGTGAGTCACTACCCCGCCACGTCATCACTGCTGTACACATGAAGGTGGCTTGGACATGCTCACGTTGCTCTGTTATGTTTATTGATCATGGCGAATCGGTTGTCAGTGCTTCATCACCACTACATGCTTCAGATATTATTTTCGCACTGCTTATTGCGCGCTTCCACAACATCTCACTTTATTGCACAATGTCGTCTAATCGTAGCTAGTGGCCAGCCGTATGTGCTTTTCAGGGGAACCCAAACGTCAAAATTAGCTAGTGTGGAGACCGTCTCACCCAATCCTTTAAGTAAGTGTTGAAGGTCAGAGTGGCGGATGCTGAACCCTGATTGGTCGCCGTGCCCACACTTTCGCCCAATCAGTGCTCGGCTTGATGATGTACCTGTAAGCGTTCCGATCTTCGGTTCAGTCGCTTGCAGGCTAGATTTCTTGGCCATAACAGAACCTGAGTGCGAGCGGTAAACCAGTTTCGGTGGCAGATCTATGCGGCAGAACCATTTTATTGTTCGAGAATGCGTATCAGAATAGCTTTCGGTTTTTTTAGCTGAGCCAACTACAGGTAGCAGAAAAGTGGTCCACACATGAAAGGGTTTGGTTCGGGTGATCCAAACTTGACTGGTTAGTTGCTTCTATCAGCTGATCGACTCCACATGGCCTTTACTGTTTTTTAGTTTTTCGAGAATTCACTCCAAACGACCCGACGGCTGGTTGTCTGTGCCTTTTGTTGGTCGCACTGCCAGATCCTTCAGGTCTAGGGCTTTGAGTTCAACATTGAAACTCGACCGGTTCCACCGTTGTTGTTAGCTTACTGGTGTGGACACGTCGGTTGGTTTTGCGCTTAACACTCCGTTTTGAATTGTGCTCAACGCACCACAACCCTATGTTCTGATCAGTCATAAACGACAAGCTACATTTGCACTTTTCACGAGCGATTCGACCGTGATAGCGCTGGTGTGACAAACTATTCACTCAGTGAATAATCCAGCCTAGTAACACTAATTCAGTGCATACCACCAAAAATTAAGAATGACTGCAATTAACGTCACTGCAGACTGCGAAGTCCACAATGCTTAAAACATATCTAGATGTAATTCAAGTCTGGTTGCACAGTCTGCTCAGTGAACTTTTTAACCCGTTTCGGATTGTCCATCAATCCTTTTTGCTGGCATTCCTAAACAGGAAGTGCAGAGAGCAATGAAGTACACGAGGAATATAATCTATTGCATGTCGTTTTTGACTTTGAGGGCCGTCATGCACATTGGCGGTTATCTCGAAGATCGCGGTGAAACGACAGCACCCTTCCTGTCCAAATCTGAATACATTAAAAGCTACGCGATCATTTTACGGCCTGCTTCCGCTTAATGATCAAACACTACAGCAAGCTTCATTAGAAACAACGCCCTGACGAGTTGCATACCGGTGGGAACAAACAAACTTTTGAACTCTCAAAAAGTGACTCAAAAAGCTACATTGGTTTCTTTGGAAATTCCAGAAGATGACTTTGGGTTGTTGTCACAGAATCGAGCAGCAAACTACATGAATCCTTTTCGTTCTGGGCATTTGAGGAGATAAAAATTCACGAGAAGAAATTAGGCTTTGTCACGAATTCCAATACCGTCCTTTTAAACCGGATTTCACACTTCAAGGAAACTAATTAGCCCATTCTGAAGGAATTTTTAGTTCACACACAGTGGAGCATATGGTTTGGTTGTGTCTTACATGGACATCTGGGGCTCAAGCTTTGGTGGATCGCGTGATAAGGGTGACACAGAAACCTGGGCTGGAACGATCGATCAGAGTCTGAAATGGGTTTGTTTGTATGCACTTTGAGGTCCGTAAGTTGGAACTACAGGCTGTCTGGAGCGACAGATTAGTAGGATGCCTGCGCTGAGTTAGCCAAACATTGTAGACGACCGGCTGTGTTGGCATTCCCGTAAGAACCATGTCACCCCACGTATACACCAATGGTGATCGGCTGCTACGTATTCTTGGCGAATAGTGAGGACTGTTAGGAGAGGTAGTCAGTCGATTGATGATGTGTGTCCAACGGTTTGTTTCATGATAAAATTTGCTGATTTTATGAGCAAACCAGGTGACAACGATGGCATGCCGGATACTTGGACTGGATAGGCTCGGTTGTTTCATGATAAAAGTTGCTGATTTTATGAGCATACCAGGTGACAACGATGGTATGCCGGATACTTGGACTGGATAGGCTCGGATTTTCGACTTTTTCATCATGAGCTTCAGATGATCGCTCATTTCTCGGAACACTCACTTTCGGGAGGCCTTACACTTTGGATAACACGGACCAACATAAACGAGAGACTCAACTGCATTCGGTTGAGTCCAAGGTTGAAACGGAATTCACGTGTAAAAAAAGCTATCCAATGTTGATTCAAGTAGAACATAAGGTTCGCTGGGACTGCGCCTACCTGATGAGCCCCAAGAAGAGCGAAACCGGTCGTGGGCTGTCGAGGGGTTTTCAGCAAGCTTATCAACAGGCCTTGGCTTTCTCTCTGCTTTCTGCAGTCACCATCATACTGTTCTCCAAATTACGGTCTGAAGAAGGGTTAGTTTCTAAAATCATACATCAGCAGGTGGAATGAAAGTTATATGATCATTCACAGTGCGACTGTTCTATCCCATGATCAGCTGACCACTTGTGATCAGATCACATGATGTTTGGTCGCGTGAGCTAAACCAAAGTACAAAGCGTAACTTTGTTTTGACTAGCACAAGGATGTTGTGGACACAAGAAGTTTTCCTTTCGCAAGCACTAATACGTAGTATGTACTTAGGTGCCGCTTTATAACGACTCGAATTATCTGAGTAGAAGTGGAACATAAGTTTGATGAAAACTCCGAGACTACGTCTATTGGATGAGCTTCAAGAGAACAGATGATTGGCTGCCGGATAGGTTTTGACAGCTGTTTATGTAGTGGGTTAAAGCCGATGCTGAGCAGAACAATTAGTGCAATATGCCTACTTGCAAACTAATTTGATTTTCAATGGGCGACTCAACTGGATCTCCACTGAATCTCTGGTTCTTCAACAGTTGATCTCCCTTTATGATCATGTGATAGTATTTCGAGAACTGCACAAAATTTGAGTTCGAGTTTGACGAAATCTCGAAGACTGTACCTAGCGGATGAGCCACAAGAAGGAGGAAACAGGTTGTGGGGTATCGACATGTCTCAGCAACCTTATGAGTAGTGTGTTCAGTCCAGACAAACTGAAACACTTACTGATTAGTTCTCCGTCTGCCTTAAAACCTAGCCAACTTGGTGACCTATTCACTTGGCCTTATGAAGCGAAACGTTGCCCAAATATAAAAAACTACCAGTTGCTTAGCAAGCCCTTCTGAAACCGAAATACTGTTTCTGATCATCATCTAATTCACTTGGAAAGTGAACTCTGATACTTAAGAAGGAATATTGGGTTAATTGGACAAAGAATGGCAGAGAAACTAAGGCGATCAGTGGCCGGTACCCATACCTTGCTAGTAAAACCTTCCCGATATTCCCCTTGATCTCGTTACACATACCGTATGCGTGTATGAATTGGGATGCCGGCAGGTAAAAGACAAGAACAAACTGGAGCTTGTCCGTAAGGGTGGAACGACCGGCTTTCCGCCGCAATCCCACTACACTACCGTTTTTGGAGTTCCGGCCAGGTAGACCATGTACGAAACAAAACATTGGGCCGATTTGGAGAAAATGAACAAACCAGTTAAAGAGCCAACTGACAGCCGATGCATTTGGGTATTGCCCACAAACATTGACCAGGATGTAAAGAAATATGTGCGTTCCCCTAACATGTGTGCTCTAGCGGCAAAACCAATCGTCGATTGGGGGCTCCTGTAGTAGCTGCTCCGGTGTGTCAGAGAGTTTGCGCGTGTGCGTGTCCGTTCGTCGTTCCACCATCGATCTGGCATGTGACTTGAGTGGCTGATTGGATGTGTGTCCGATTGGTTGGCTCGCGTGAGCGCTGTGGGTTGACTGGATATGTGACTCAGTCGTTTGCTTACCTGCCACGAAAGCGGACCAGTTTGGCCGCGTGTACCCAATACACCCGTGTCCGTACTTACGTGTTTTTCTGACTTGCTGTGAGCTACAATAGCTCCCCATTCGACCAACCCCAAATAGACCGTAAGACCCCGGTGGCTAGGGATCTTACAGGGCGACTGAAGCTATCGGACTATACACAGTTGCTATTCTGTAGGTACCGGGTGGTAGGAACAGGTGGATAAGGGCAGCTGGCTGTATGAATAAATGGGTTGACAAACATCGTGAGCTAAGTGGGCCGTACGGAGATAGTCAAATAGGCACTATACAGGGATAACGGCACAGAAGATGGTCAGTGCTTCCGAATCAAAAGGAATGTAAACTATCTGGAAAAGCAGGCATCGGGTGAGTCTGGCACAAATTGAATGTAACTGCAGTCTTAAGCTCACAGCGTGAAGGGGTAACACTTACTATGTGTCAAATTGAAATGTGCACTTAGGCCCGTCTAAAACGCAATCCCAGCAAGTGCTATCAGGTAGGATGCATTACAAAGGGCTACCAGGGATGTCGAGCTGGCTCAGTGAATAGCACGCTCATTTGCCGCCCCCATGGTCCGAGTTCCCCCCTCCCCGGGTAACTTTACTTACCGTCCGGTCAAACACTCGAAAATAGGCAGAGTCGACGCGAATCTTCAAGCGAAGACGGATAGGTGACAAATTATCGACATAAGTAATTGAAGTGTAGACGGGAACCAGACGGCGTTATAATAAACAGACGTAAGTCACACTACTTATGAGAGAAAAACAACTGCCGATTACCTTTGATTCACAGCAGGAAGCAACGTAGACCATACTCTCGTGTTCATAACAATTTTGTGGGACGTGTTGAAAAGTACGAAGTTCAAGTGGACTGCTTCGTGTGGACTAGATTTGCCAACCATATTTACCCCACTGCAAAGGCCAGCATGATCACGGGAAATTTCGTTACCGCCAGATTTCCTACCCTTATTGAATAGCCTACTCACGAAACAGAAGCTGTGCTAAATAGTTATAAATGTTCAACGCGGATCAGATTTCTTGTGTAGAGTTGAGGTTAACCGGTAACGCAAGTTGTATAGGGCAAACGTGACTTGTCCTTCTGTCCAGTATAAAGTAGGGAGGTGCATAAAAATCAGTTATTATTATTATTAATAGTATTATTATTATTACTATCATTTGTCCAATCTATACCTATTGATTCTGGTGTACTGCTACGAACGCAGTTCACTTTATGTGGTCCTTGATTCTGTCTACCCATCGGTCAACCAATCAACTCAGACGTAGAATCTGCCTATGATTGGACACGTCGCCCTATCAGCTGTTATGTTCCCTTCACGTGATTGGTTGGTTCCCCAATTGATCTCGCGCTTCTGTGCATTCAAGTGTGTAAGGACGATCCGGGCTGATGCTTTCTAATTCCGCGGTCGGTGTTTGAACAAGCGCGAAAGCTGAGGAAGAGACGGAATATTTGGGGGAGAACGGAACCGCTTTGTGTGATTTCGCGCGGCGTACGTATTATACTGTGCCTGACTAATTATGACCCATCACAACTAGTTCTTTTCACCGATCGGTACCCATGATTAGTGCACAAAGTCAATAATCCGATCAGTTTTATAGACTTTCTCACCCTCATGAGGAATCCGTCTTACGGTATACGTGACTGGAGTTTCTTTAGTTTAAATTACCTCAGTGAAGATGCGAGAAATTTCATATTTAAGTCCGACGGCGGTAACTTCGTCAAGCATTCACAACGCTTTGTTCTAGTTGTAACCAGAGTCACTTGCAACCATCACTGATCCGGTTTCAATTACGTTGTCCACGTTATATGTATCCATCTATTTTTTTGCTTTCAGAACGAATCCAACTCCCAAATCAGCTGGGGACGCAAATAGGATGTACAAAGATGCATCGTTAGACGAACTTCTCACGCGGATCTTCGGGCAGAGTTTTCAAACATCGACAACTAAAACGTGTAAGTTTGTTGCCGCATTTGATCCGATCGAAATCTGCTGATACTCCCTTGCAAATGATTTATCGTCCGCTTGTAAGAGGCTGCTACTACTTCAGTTATTGGTTTCATAGATCGTATTCCAGTCTGGTGTAATTTGAGGTTCATTTCCCATGGAGCAGGACGACCTGGGTAAGCCAACACGTTGAGACCTGTGTTCGTTCTGGAGTAAAACCCCGTAAAATAAACACCTCTTTGGTGAAATACCCCTACTTTCACACCAATTTGGTTTTTGGCTCAGCTCCATCCCAGCTGAACTGTCTTTTGTGATGTTTTACAAATCAATGGCCTGCCGCCCCACCTTTTGGTTGATGGAACGTTTGAGACTTTGCAACATATTTTCCTGGTTGAACATAATACTTATGAGATTGAGCTTGAGATAGCTCCGTGGTTGAGGCACGAAGATACCGACCGGAACGTTTGTGGTTCGAAACGAACCTCAGCATCTCGACTGCTCCTGGGTAAGCTTGGGCAACCTGACCGTATCCCAACCCTCGTCCTTCCTCCTGGTGGACTGGCAGCTGGGCACCGAAAGGTACTTCGCCCATTGCATACGATTTGGCATTCAATTAGAACATAAGTTTAACGAAAACTCGGAGACTGCGTGCATTTGATGAGTTTCAAGAAAGGTGAAACCGGTCTTGGGCTATCAAGGAGTTCTCGACAACCTTATGAGTAGTATGTTCCGCTGAGCAACCACCCCCCCTTTGTGACCGATTCGATCCGTCATTGCGACTTCCTGTCAATTCATGACAATCATAAAATGATTTCCCGTACTTTTGGTAGAAACAGCCTGGCCCCTATTGTCCTCAAGTCGCCAGTTACGTTGCTGGGATGAATAGTTGCTCGTAGCAAATTCCTCACAGTACACCCCTATGGCCAACGGCCCATCGATGTTCATTATCGATGAGGCTGTGAGCAGCGCAAGAAAGTTCAAGGTGGAGAGCATTTCAGTAGTGCTTTATCATGTGATTCAGCGCGAATTTACTGACCCGAAGGTCCGTGGTTCGAACCCGACTTCTGCCTCTCGACTTCCCCTGTCTACGCTTGGGCAACCCCGGCAGTATCTTAGCCTCGGGTGGCTTCGGGTGGAATGGCAGCTAGGCACCGGAAGGGTGTTACAGCTGAACGATCTTTTTTATCATGTGATCCGCTGATGGAGTATGACAGATCACTTCGGATCCCACAGAGCCAGCTAGTCGATCAATCGTCCTGGATCAGGCGATTCTGTCGGTCATCGCTTGTCCAGTACAGTCTGGTGTAAGGAGTCATACCTGTTATCGGATCTTGATGAAAGAAATCAATCGAAATCGGTGTGTGTACTGAAGCAATCAGGTGGGATTAGACTACACGGCGCTAAGTAACAGTACACTTCACGTGACAATGACAGAACCTGAACCACGGATCAAGGTCATCAAATCTTATAACCGCGAGAGGCATTGCTTGTTTATTGAGTGACAAAATATAGAGTGTTGTCACTTCCTACTCTAAAAGTAGAGTGTAGTGCAGAAAATATAATCTGAGAAGTACTTGAGGACTATTCAGAGGGCAGACCAAAGGTGACATGGGATATGTTCACCAAACAACACTTGACGACTCATCAGTCGAACTTGGTGCTTCCTCGCCGTGAACTGCGATAGTCCAAACCGTGGATACCAGTAGAAACCGTTTAAAATCTCCAAGTATTCTTCTCCATCACCCTTGTTTCCCAGGTGGACATGTTTGACTGGAATCAATCAACAGCTAGACAGGAAGCTGTGGCTCATTGGGAGGGTCGACTAGAGAACTGGGTCGCATCCGAGATTTCTGGACAAAACTGCAGCCTTGACTGAGGGGTAATTTTCAATGTGTTGAAATATTGGTAGCTCGGATGAGTTTACTGGTGGTTGGTCAGGTTACCGTTGATCTGCCCGCTGAGATTGGCAGTTATTTTGTCAAGGTCGACGGGCAAGTTAACAGCCACTTGTTCAACCACTGAATAATACTACGTGTTTCTTTAAGGATGTCGAGCGAAACAGGTCTGTAGTGGTTAACGGCTCTATGGTGCCCGCTGAGGCAGTTATTTTGTCAAGGTCGACGGGCAAGTTAACAGCCACTTGTTCAACCACCAGTGGGTATAACTGAATAATACTACCTACGTCTTTAAGGATGTCGAGCGAAACAGGTCTGTAGTGGTTAACGGCTCTATGGAGTTTCTAGTGAACAGAGAAAATTACTAATGCAGGCCAGATACAAAGTCACAAGGAGAAAAATCCAAGTAAATCTTGACTCACAGTTCAAAATAGGAGATTCCGTAGTTCCGTATTCCGTTGAACCACCACACCAAGAATAGTTCTATC